AATAAACTTATTCCCAGAGCTCTCACCACTCCCGGCCCTGATGGGCGTTTCTGTCACGCCAAGCTTGAGCACACGCACACTGGCCCTCTCCTGACTATCTCACCTGTCATTTCCAGCCTCACTTTCCCAGCCACTGTCAATTTCCCATCTCCAGTCCCTCCCTATCTTGATGACCTTCTGCTGACCACGTGTTAATCTGCCGGGTGGCAGGCATTTTTACAGGGCATTTCAGTTCGCTGACGATGTTTTCTGGTCCTGAGACCCCATGAGCACCTCGGGGCCTCTGTAACTGTGGTGTGATGCTTGGATACTTCCACACTGTTAGCCAGTGCTCAACTCAGCAGCTGAAGTCTCTGTTGCTTGAGATGAGCTGATGGTGGTAGCTGCCCTTTCTCTTCCCACCTGTCCTGCCACATTTGCTCTTTTAAACTCAGAGCAGGACTTTACGCTCATCTTTGCTCTGTTGGATCTTTTCAGCCCCCTTGGGTCCTCTGAGTCCTGATGGTCAGCCCAGATAGTCTCTATGTTCCCACTTTGTTCAGGTCTCTGATAAACCCCAACTGCTCTAGACTTGACACTTTCATAAATATGAGACAGGATGAAGACTGAAGACAGGAAATGATCCTTAGACTGTGCCTTTTGCCTTTGCCAGTTCTCACAGCCATCTCCTGGCCCCCAGACACCAGTGGCTTCTAGGTTCCTGATTAAATTCACCATCTCCACATCCCTTTATCTGGCAGACAGGGCTGTGTGATGAGCAGAATATAGAAGCGAGGTAAGCAGCCCTCTTTCCCCACTTCTATCTTCCTTCGTCCTCTTTCCAACTCTCCAGAACATCAGAGCTCTGACTGCTTGCCCTTTTTTGGTACCACTAATGGCCTGTTATTGCAATAATAATAATAATCCTGGGCATTTATGTTACAAAATTTTCCAAAACACTTTCACGTTCATTATCCTGTGTTATCGAAAAGTGGGCATGGCGGCTTGGAGAGTGACTAGCCCGCTGGGAGCAAAGAGTCAAGGCCAGAGTTTGAGCTGGGCGTTGACTTCTCTTATTTAGAGGTTGGCAATGCTGGTAGTTAAAAGGAGCAAGCGATAGGATTCTTTAGCATTTCTGAGTTAGGCAGGAAAGAGAATCAAGCTGAACCTTGAAGTTATTCTGGTGATAACTGCAGAATCTTGGCCTGGACTCTTATCCCTACAGCCATTGTGCAAATGACAGAACAGTTGTGACATTGGACTGTGCCCCTGAATTTGCCTAAGTGAAGACTAGATACTTTGTAAAAGTGCTGTCTAACTTTAAAGATTCCAAAATCCTCTGAAGCTAAACCAGGCTCTATCCCCCTCTCTCCCCTTTCCATTCTAACTAGAAAATGTGGGTGGATTGAGAAAGAACAGAAAGGAAAGATCAAAACTCTGACAACCTTCTGACAACATTTTAACTTGAAAATTGCCTGCAAATGGATGGCATAATTCTGTGTAGGCAGATGTAACTCAGGTGCACGTTTGCTCAGCTCCTCACTGTCACCCCCTAACCTTGAAGAGCAGGACCCTGGAGCTGGCCAATGAAGGGCTTACTGGACGTCAGCCTGCCAGCCAGGCTCCCCAGGGGGCTGAGACCTAGTCTTCCTCTGTGCCCCAGAGCCTCCGTTCCCTCATGCCTCACCTCCTGCTGCCCAACAGGCTGTATCTGCCGGACTTTCTGCAGTTGGGTGTTGGCTTCCTGTGCGTCCCCCTCCCAGCTAGCACTCACCAGCAGGTGTTTATAAAGTGCTGGCGTTTATAAAGTGCAAGCCAGGAGATGGGGCTCAAGTCCTAGCCTGCTCTGTTCCAATGGCGCCCTCTCTGAGAGCTCAGCTGGTCACTAGGTGCCAGACCAGAAGTCCGATTCTGCAAAATCTCTCTCTCTCTCTCTCTCTC